CTTTTGAACGTCACTATTTTTATATTACTCTCTTTGTAAGCATATTATTTTTATAGTGAAAGAATTATTCAGAATTTATCCCGTGGACGTAGCCCTAAACAGTTAAGGGTATTATTCAGAATTTATCCCGTGGACGTAGCCCTAAACAGTTAAGGGTGAACTACCTTAATCAGTTCCTTATTGATTACCTTGGGTCTAATTTATTTTAGTTTTAATAAAATATTGAGTCTAATATGCACTGAAATTTTCACTTGAATTTTATTATGTCAAAATTTTTTAAATTATATAATAAATTTTGGTGGATAGATTGTACGACATCATCATGAATGCCGACATAACGGTTTTTCATTCTGTTTGAATACATGGCAACGGTCCAGAAAGTGAGCTGCGTCACATAACTATCGGGTCCGTCACGCAGTGTGAGACTGCAGAGTAGCTAGACAGACTTGGGACTCGCTTGATGTATCCATTATCTCTACTGATTTTATTAATCTAGGATTGAAGGAGTGGTTGATTATGAATTTACAGGTTCAGTCCTCTTCTACAACCTGTTTTGCTTGGAATTTGTTGAATTTATCAAAAGTATACTAAGTCCCATTATCAGACCTGAATATTTTGATTTCACTTCTAGATTGCTTCTCAATTAAAGCTTTAAATTTCACAAAGATACAAACCCATGTTGCAGAAAAACTAATTTAGATGATTTAAACGAGATCATAATGTAATGAATGGAGAAAGCCATTGAAGCAAGAAAGAAAAAGGCTTTGGGTTTCAACTTTCACAAATTTAAAATAAGAACTAATAATGATAAGAGGTTAGCTCATCTTCTCTCTTTTTCTACCAGTAAAGGAGAACAAAAAGAAATAAAAAAGAATCTTCTTTTACCTTACACATTGGCTGTTAGGAAAAAATTATACTTTCAGTTTCAAACAATTTTTCCCCTCTTTTTAATTGGAAGGGAATGAATTCGAAGGGAATGTTAGCATAATGTGATTTTTGCCTAGTGTTCTGAATGTCAAAGCGAAGAAATTCAATCAAGCGCGGGTAAACGGCGGGAGTAACTATGACTCTCTTAAAGTAACCAAATGCCTCGTCATCTAATTAGTGACGCGATGAATGGATTAACGAGATTCCCACATACATTTTTAAATCTACATCCAATTAAAAATCTATAGTGGATAGTTGATTTGATTGTGTACCATGTCAGCATCAAGAAGCTGACCAGGATGTGAAGAAGGAGCATCCAATACCCGAAAATCAACCAAGCCATCCACAGCTTCTTTAGCTAAGCAATCAGCAACGTGATTGGCCTCCCTAAAAACTTTGATCTTTATTTATGAAACTAAACACATTGAGCTGTTATATTATAAATATTCTTTCATTGAGTTTGGAGGGCCCGAGCTCCCCCCTCCCACCGCCCTGCCTTAGACACGTGCATATCAGTTTTCTTAAATAACTGATCGCTATAACAGTTTCATTTTTTTTTTTTTTGTCCTTCTGTACAAAGTTTCCGTACAGACTAAATTGCGGTTACATCGTACCGCTATTCAACTTGTCTCATAATAAGACAAATACGCGTTCATTGGTACCTTCTTTTTTGGGTGCGATATGATTTGATTTGCATGGGCCAGCTTCTTAGTTAAAGAATTTGTGTCCAGTTTTTTTTTGTAGCTCTATGCTTCCCAGTCGGTGGCAGTAGTGATATCCTAATTCGGCTACCTCTATATGATTAAATTTCTTATATAATAAATTGAATCTAATAAGCATATTCTGTGATATAAATAAATAAAATAATAAACGGATAAATTATATTCAATTGGATTAATTACTTGTTCGTGAACTAGAAAAATAAAATAATAATAAAAAGCAGTGGTTGTTTTCAAAGAGTGAGCTTTGATCTAAATTCAGAAAACATAATTTTTTTATATTTTTTATACCATTATTTTGACTTTGATTGCTGTCGGGTTAATGTTAAAATTCAACCTCAACTTCAGCTGTTGGACGTTTCCAATTTCACCCAAATGTGCAAGTATGATGCACTCGTAAAAGAGAAAGAAAAGAAAGACAATAACAGCTTCAACCTTATAATCTGTTTGATTAATAAGGGTAATTAAGTCACAACAATAGTGTTATAAGAAGATTTTTTTTTTCTGAAAATGTAACTCATTAATAATATTAAGAAGAATTATAAATACTCATATAGACCACACATAGAATTTTGCTCATGCGATAACTTTTTAACTAACTTTTAGCATTTTAGTTAGTCAAAATGTAAACACTATTTTTATAGTATTCGGCAATATAGCGTTTGAATTAACATTTTATAAAAAGTTAACTCATATAACATTTAGCTTTTACTGTTTTATGCAAAGCTATTGAAACAGTTAAACGCTACTAAAACAATTAATTTTATAGAGTAGCCCAAATTGTCCTCTCTTAATTGCATATAACTGTTACGTAAAAACTGAAATTAGGCAGCTGAAAAAATGGTCGTATACAAGTTTCAGGATCAGGAAACTTCGGCTTAATATACACTTATACCCTGAACTTTAGAATTTGTTGTATGTACACTCTAATTTGAACTTTTTGATGACTACACCCTAAAATGAAAAATCGAGCGTATTTACACCACAATTAAATTAAGGGTTGATTTGTAATAAAAAATATATTTTCATGGGACCCATATAAACTTCTTCACAAGAAACTTAGCACATGTATATGTTTTAGGTATGGTCTATTTCATGTTTGTCTTTTTATGGTTCTTAATGAATCTTTTCATTTAAAAAAAAAAATATTAGGACAATTTATGGTGTAATAAGACGATTTTTTTTTTTAAAAAAAAGCAAGATGGATATGATGATAGACCTGCAACCTCCGCTGCTTACCCAATGCTTACGGATTATGGATATTATTTTATATAATATATCATTCATGGCGTATTATAACTATACTGTCAAAATATAGAGACAATAATATATGAAGTGTACATCGAAAATTAGGACACAATTTGAAGAGATCAAATTACAGAATATAATATCATTTATTTATTAATCATAACACACTATACATTAATCACGCCACATCATGAATATTAATTAGTAATTAATCTCCCGTTCCATTTTATTTGCTTTTTATTCTTTTCTTAAATGTTCCGAAATGTTTACAATATTTCTAAATTTATATATTTAAACAATTATTTTTTTTATAATAACATTTATAATTATTCATTAAATAAATGTCTTTTATATACGCATCATATACCTGCACTTCACTGATAAAAATAAGCGGCACTTCACTAATAAAAATTAAATAATATTATGCGCGTATATGAAGAAACACACGGAAAGTTGAAATATTACCTAAACGGTAAACAGAATCTAAAGATCAACTGCAAATTTAGGCCACGTATGACGTGGATGCTTTGTTCTTCGTCAATGTGTCTAATTAAAATTTAAAAAAAAAAAATCAGACAGTGAATGTAACATGACATGACTTCCAAAAGCTAGTCCACTTGCTCATAACCTGACATCTGCTTGCTCATGACTCATGTACACCTTTTTTTTTTTTCTTCGCCAATGGAACGCCTTTTGTTTTTTTGCTCCCTTTTTACTCCCTTTTCTATTTATAGTAGAGCTCTCACTAAGCTCCATGTACACTAATTTTCTTGAAGAAAATGGCGAAGACTAAGCTCGATCCCGAGATAAAGTCTAATTCAATAGACATTCTTTGTGGCAAGTCGTTGAAAAAAACTGATTTGGAGCACCAATTCATCGCTCCAAGTGATTTCCTGAAGAAATCTGCTGTTTTGGATGAAAGTGGTGAGTTGAAAGAAAAAATCACTTCATTTGATCGAGATGGCAAGAAATGGACATTTCGATTATCCATACGCAAGAATGAGAAATATTCTAAACCAACTCTCACTCCAGCTTCTTGCCGTCCATTTGTGAAACATTTCGGTCTTCGAGATGGTGATGCTGTGATATTCTATATAACAAGAAATGATGGCGCTGGAAACATACAGATTAGAGGGCTGAGAAAAGACTTGGCCATTTTTGGTAAACTGATTTGGACGGAGGTGAAGAGAGTGGAAAACTAGACATCAACTTCCCATTACAGGGTATGAGAGCCTTAATTAATTATCGCCTGTGTTTGTTTTGATTTTTATGTTTTTAAATAAAGTAGTATTACTACCGACGTTGATCGGAACGAAGTGGTTGAGACTCCTTCTTACTTAATCTAAGATCTACGGTGTGAAAATTATCACCTTCTTACTTAATCTAAGATCTACGGTGTGAAAATTATCACGCTTGAATTTTTTTTTTTTTTTTTTTTTTGTTAAGTATGAAACCTGGATCTAATTTCACTTTATATATAAGTCTGTATTGTTTACAAGAAATATAGTAATAAGAAGAGTTTGTTTGTCTTAATCTATGTTTCAGCCTTTTACACGACCATAATAGCCACTATTATTTTCAGTTAATTATTCTTTTTCTTTTTTTAAAATAATAAGTATGCAAAATTGAAAAAACAATTTTAAATCGGTTTGAATTGATTTAACCGGTGTTTGACAAGGCGAAAGAAAAGAAAATTATGTTTTTCTTTCCATTTATTTGGGATAAAACATATTTGTAATTCAATTTTAAAATGATATCTATTAAACCAAAAGTCTAAAAGCATTATCAAAATGCTTTTAAGATCAGATCAATCATTAAACTAATATCTATATATTTTAAGATTTCAATTTCTGATTTTACAAAAGCACAAACAATTTTCAAGAATCACCAATATTAATACTAATAAGTTCTATTATCACTCTACAAAACCAAAACTCTCATACCACAAACACTGATATAATGAGCCCTTACAAGAATTTTAGAAGATAATTAATAAACTAAGCAACAGTAATGGAAAAATGTTATATTAGAAACTAATATGACTTGTGTGAGCATAATTGGCGTAGCCTTGCGATAATCATCCGGTTGTGCATACACATTCATCACCATCACCATTAAACAAAACTCTTCTGGGTAAAGCCCATCCTTCTCTAAAAGTGAAATCTTCATCTTTGTGCAATAAAATTTCTGTTTGCACATTTCCACTATCACCTTCTTGTAGTAACATGGCATTATAGTACTCAATCCCCCAAAACATTCCTGTATCATCTGTCGAAAACACAGCATTTCAACAACATTTCATAACTCCATTCAAAACTGTACTAATCTTCAGTTTTCGAAATATAATTTGATTCAAACTACTTACTGATGTTTCCATACTGATCAAGCGGTTCATAGTTGAAGCTGAATACTTGATACAAGCTTTTAAAGTTGGGATGTAAGACAACCAAATTCCACTGAGAATAATTTTTCATTATATTTAGATTATTTATCGTCATCTTAACTCTCCAATACTCTTTATAACTCTCTTTCACATGCCAGTGTACCCTTATAGGGCACATGTGCTGTGTACACCTTACTACTTCTGGGGTTGCATCATTTGAATCTTGCTTTTCTCGCAGCAAAGTTGCATCATTTGAATCTTGCTTTTCTCGCAGCAAAGATGGTGTCTCTCCATACCTACAGTTTTCTCAGATTTTATAAATTTCAGGTTACTAGAAATACCCTTTTCAAGAAAACTGAAAATGAACAAAGAAAGTAGATGTATTAGAGATTTGATGAAAAAATTAAGAGGTTTTACTTTACACATTTTGCTCCAGGTTGCTCTTGGCATCTGCAGCTACATTTAGGGCAAGGAACAATAGTATCATTGTAAAAAGCCGACAAGGAAACACAGCATTTTGGGGTTGCTGCTGATATGCTGATAACTATAAACTGAGATAAGATGCACAGTCACAATTTTCCATTCTCCTGGTATGACAAATCAAAACAACACCGTTGTCATACATTAAACCCATTTCCAGTAAAACGTAGATCATAATACGTGAAAGTTAAACCCGAAAAGATATGCATATTAAGCACGTGGGTCCATTCTCCGGCCCGCGTGTACTGAAGAGTACTTACTAGGCTTCAGCTCATGTGCAGCTCCACAGGTTATTACAACCAGCGAATCCACAGTAGTGAAGATTTTTCCGAGCATTTGAAGTCTGACTGGGTAAAATAATTAAGGATGCAAGAAAGGACACTACATTCTACTGGAAGTGGCACCAATACTTTGAGGATCTGATTGTTTCTGGAAGTTAAAACACCCAAATTTGCAGCAATTCTGAGATTCTGCATATTTAAGAACTCCAGGCAAAAGAATCAACAATCACCGCTTTTTCGCACAATGTGGCAAAAGATCAACAATCACCGGACTTTTTTCGCAACAATGTGGGAGTGTTGTTCCTTTAAACCTAGTACAGTTTCCTTGCTCAGTTGCCTCAGCTCCCCACATTCCCCATATCACTTCGTGGCCTTTCCAATCCCAACCCAATTTCCAACCAGGTGACTCCACGTGGCGGTATAGTTGGTAATTGAATATTGATACTTTTAGCTGTTTGGAAACATTATTCATGGATTAAGAATTTAAAGATTTAATTAAGCACACTTAATTAGTTCATTCCAACTTACTAATTTGCCCCTAGACAAAGAGACAATACTGGACCCTTATGTTTGAAGACAAATTAGATGCAGACAAATAGACATTCTATGTACAGAAAAGTAGCATCACGCACAGGTGAATCAACAGAATGTTATATTCTGATAAAAAAACAATTATATTGATTTATTTCAAGATTTTGAATTTCAATTTTAAGGTTTCTATTATAAAAATGAACAACAAACAATTATGGATTATCCCACATTTGCAGGTTAAGGGAGGATTAATATGGCGGTATTTTCACTATTTTTTCAGAAAAATTTCCGTTACTCAAATCTATGAACTTGCAAGTGCAAGAACTTTACTGTTACATAAAATTCACCCTCAAAAAGCATACAAGGGTAATATTGGTAAAAAATAAAAAAAAACCAGCAGGCTTTTAGAAAAAAGGACCACTCCTTTAACTCAGGTTCCCACTTTCTCTCCCATGTAGAATGTTAAACCTAATTGGGTGGCAGATGAATGCAACAGTTTGATCTTTTCAATCACAAACTCAAGATTGAATTTTAACAATCCAATAATCCAAATTTATAATTTTACAATCTTAGAATTCAAAGGAAAGAATCCAACCACTTACATCATATGTATCCGATGATTGCAAAAGATCCCATTTGATTGTAATGTTACCATGTGGATCCAATGGATCAAAACCGTCTGCAATTCAATTAATCAAATATGATTCAACAAAAAGATGAAAACTCCAATAATTTTTACAGATAACAAAATAGAGAAAAGGAAAAGGCACTTACAAGAAGGTGAGATGGAGATGATTAGGGAGAAGAAGATCAAAATCCAAAACATACCCATTAATCTATGATGAATAAGAAATAAAGGGTATGTTTCAAAAATTCTAAACTCCAAGCAACAAAGAAAGAAAATGTATAAAGAAAATGTATTCAAGAAAACACTTCACTCCTTATGTGGTGAGTGAAACCAGACTCCAAAAGGAGGCATATAATGAGACAGCAAGAAATGTGTGTAGCGTTTCACTTATTTCTTCTTCGATAAATTAAAGAAAGAATGCATAAAACAATGGCAGCCAAAAATATGGAATTTTACCAAATCAAGGTCCTTAGAATGGGTCTATATTAGGAGATTTTGATCTTTAAGATGTGATTGATAACAATAGCATTTAAAGCAAACGCGTTAGTCTCCTTCGAATTTGAGTGTCTAATTTTTTTTTTTTCCAAAATTTTAAATGTATATTTCCATTTGTTTTATCTTCTTGAGTTAAAGGTTCAAAATTTAAGTCTCTTCTTATCTCTAATCTACAAAATTTAGTAAATAAAGAAATAAAATTTGAAAATTAATATCAGTAAATTGTGTAATTATTTGCTTTACCCACTTACTGTTATTAGGTTAACTTCAAGGTATTTAAAAAAGTTCAATATGTATTAATAAAATCACTTAAATTTTAAAATTTTCATTTTGGTTCTATATTCAAAATCTAGCAAATAATTATCTTATCAAAATAAATTCAAATTTGAGAGAGCTTGCTGGACATATAACAAGATTAGGCAAGTGTGTGTGTGTGTGTGTGTGTTTTTTTTTTTTTTTTTTTTTTTTTTTTTTTGTTAAATTTTTTTTTTTTTTTTTTTTTTTTTTGTTAAAAAAAAAAAAGAAATTCAGAAATTAGCATTATTATTATTGTGGAGGGTTGGTAATGATCCTTATGGTTGCTGTCATCACTTGTAACTTTCATATTTTAGAATACAAACATTAATCACCTGGGATGATATTATCTGTCTTCCTGTCATTAGCCTATCCCAGTCAAATTATTACTAATACTACCAAAAGAGATTAAAAATTCAATTGGATGATTGGATGAGATCTTCCTGCCTTTTCAAAACCCCAACTCACATTCAAATAAGAATATATAGTTACTGTTTAATCCATTATGGTTTGGCCAAATACACTTATAAAAATCTCAATTTTCAAAGGATTTAAAGTAGAAGATTATTTAATAATTTTCAAATTAATTTTCCTAACCTTTTATTATTAAATTAAGATTGATTAACAGAATATTAATAAAACATTTTACAAAGAAACATACAATACAATGAGTGTATAATACATGGACTAGATAATGAACTTGTTTGGTTTAATTGTTGGTAATATATATATAACCCAACTACAATGCAAGGAATCGGCTATGGAGAAACTCAAAATTCAGCTTTTAAAGCAGTACAACAGTCAATGTTTTGTGCAAACCCCTATTAATTCCCACCCGTATTATTATCTTAGAAAGCTCATTCATATTTCTAAACCTATTAGTAACTAAATTTCGAAAATAATTATTCGAAATTGACCGAATTGAATCGATTTAATTCAATTTGGCCGAGAATTGCTCGCCTCTAAATTCAATCTTTTTAGGAGCATGTGAGATTACCAAAACAATTCCTATTAAGTGCATGGATACTGGCACGATCAAGCAATCTCACTCTCTTCTGACTTCGTTAGTCAATGAGAAACAACTAAAAAGTTTCTCCTATTAAGTTTGAGAATTAAAAATTCTAGTGTTCCTCTGGTTTCGATGTAGCAAAATGCTAAAAATGTAGCAAATAACAAAAAGGGAGAAATAAATAGTGTTAGCAAGAAAAAAAATAATAAATTAATAATAAGAATAAAAAATGAATTTGGAGATATCCAATGCTTAAAGGATTTAAAGTAGAAGGATATTTTTATAGTTTCAAATTAAGTTTTCTAATCTTTTATTATTAAAGGAAGACCGACTACTAGAAGTTATAAAAATTATTACAAAAGAGTTATGACATCTGACCCGACAGCTCGATCACAAGAGGGCGGATAGAACAAAGCTACTGACTAACTTCTAAGATTGCACGCTAGTTATGAGTAGTGAAATGCAGGACACAGAAATGACTAGCTTCTAGGATGGGAGGCTAGCTATGGGTAGTGAAATACGGAAGACAGAAATGAATCAAATTATATATCCAAAACGGAAAAACTAATGATCAGATACTTCATTTAGTAAAATAGTTTGGAGAGTGAAAGAACTTTAGAATTAAGCGAGCTCGCTTAACAGAAATCCTAAAATGGGTAACTTATAAATATTGATGGAGATTGAAACGTAAAATAATCATTAAGAATATAATAATTGTATATATATATATATATTGAAAATAAATATATTATTTCTACTTTAATGTGTTATATAAATAAAAATATTAAAAATATTAATTTTAAATTAATTTTATTATAAATAACCTATAGTTATTTTATTATTTTAATAATTATAATAAAATGATCATTATTAAAATATTAATTTAAAAACAATTTTTAGTTATTTTTATTATTTTTAATAATTATTAATAAAATGATCATATAAAATATTAATTTAAAAACAATTTTAGTACCCATTATTTTTATAAAATTAATAGAATCCAAATATAATATAAAATACAAATTAACTAAGAGTCAATAAGAAAAATATTTAAAATATCATTGACAAAATTAATAATTAATTAGAATTTCTATCTATCATCTATCAAAAATTCCTACTAATTATTTGGTGAAAATCAACTGAATCAAATGCCCTTAAATTACAAATTTAAGCAACAATGGTGAAATTTATAAGTTTTATACAGTAGAATATAATCCTACAGAATATTTGAACTCACTTGGATTGGATTTCTTCAAATTATTGAGAAAGTTTATGAAGCTAATTAATGAAAACATTCGAGTTCATACAAATATTTTTAGATGGAAAATTGTTAAACATAGACAACAAGAGATTCAGGAAGACAAAAAATACAGCTATTGGAACAATCATTGATACTGAAACTCCAGATTTACATATCTAAATCAAGCTGCTTATGATGGACTTAAACACGCAATTCCTATTATAACTCTCATATGTCCGGTATGTCCCGAATCCCTTTAAAACAACCATTCATATTTAGTGCAATCCAACCCATTTTAGGAGCATGTCAGAGTACAAAGCAATAATAATTAGATCTCTCCAGTTGATTTTGAGAACTAAATCCAATGTAGATATTTTTATTAGTTTTCTCTAATATCTCATTTGAATTTTTAATCCAAAAAATAGTATTAACAATTTGCATCTCAAGGTAAATATCAAGTTCTAACATACAATGTCAACAATCACATATTGTAAAAAATGAAAATTATGTGATATATAATTCATCTAGAAAATATGTAGCATATCATTTAAACAATATTTGGACAAAAATGAATGAAAGTAACATATAAATTAATTTCTTGGAGATAAGGATATGATAAAATATTAAACTTAAAAATTCAATTTTTAATAATAATCAACGAGTTCTACCTAGTTGATGCCAAAAATTTTGCTCACAATCTCTCTTCTTGACCTGTGCTACAGAACTCATTCAAATATCTTATGAATTAGATATATAAATCAGTCAGTCCTAACAAGGGCATAACTTAAGACAAAATAAATAATTCTTCTACAAAGTAACATAACATAGTTCACAATACAGTTCCTATTGGATGCCAGAAATCCTTAAGAAATGCACCAAGTTTCATATTTTCTTCTGTTTTCCTCCCAACAGGACGTAAAAATAAGTTCATTTCTAGAATCAATTTGTCGAACGATCTGTAGAGGTCACCACAACACAAGTCAATTCGTACTGATCCATATAATATATGTAAACTGACGAGTTTAGTGCTAAACAAACTCCATTTACTACAGGATTTCATTTCCAAACATGTACCCAAATGCTGCTTCAGCTGTATTAAGTATCCACCCTTTGGCTTCCTTGACATATATAGATATCATAAGAAATACTGCAGATATATTGCAAAAGAAAAACTTCAACAAATCAAAGTGTCACTGTTGTGATGGACACAAACAAAATGAAAGAGAGTAGATGAGAAAATAAAATAACTAAAAGAATTGAAAAAAAAATATTAGTACCTCAAAAGTGAATATAACCAGCTATCAAGGATTCCAAGCTGTTAATGTGAATTATGCATGCCTCCGCCTTTTTGTATTGTCCTCAGTAAAGAATTCCCACTTTCCATGATCCAGGGTGCGTAAATCATCATGTTCCGCAATGGCAAGCAAGTATTGAGTGAGCTTTACAAGCTCCTGATCACTATCTCTATTTGCATGAGCCTTTCTGAAAGGCCTAATCGTAAGGCCATTTTGTGGGTTCATCACAAAATTTCTTCGCAGATCATCAAACATTATAGTGTTTTTTGGACTGTAAAACTGAAATATATATAAAAAAACAGCAGTCTGTCAAAAGAATGTTATTTGACCAAAAAGAAAATGCAACTACTAATTTTGCTGCAGTTCACACAGCATTGAAAATAGATCTTTTGATCTCAAATGGGGAAGTGTCATGTTTTATAGGAATTGAAAAACTTATTAGCATGATTGATTCATTATGGATTTAAACAACCCATTTAATAAGAAAAAATCATCGCCTCTTCCTTTGTCATGGTACTACCTTCAAAAGGCTTTCTAGATTGATAAACTATGCAAGAGAAATTCTTATAAAATGCTCATCATCATTTGGTTCTTTCTTTCAAATTTCAGTAAATTAACAGCAGAAGCAATACAAACAATTCTCTTTTAGAAAAGATCATCTTAAAAATTTGTACCTCAGGGAAAAGAGCCCAAATCAATCCAAGTGGCTTGCAGTCAAAAATCCCTCGAGAATCTGATTGAACTGTAATCATTCCTAAATGGTCTAGAAGAGCCGTGATTTTGTAGTTTGGATTGTTGAGCACCCCCAGTTGTCCCATCTTCAGTTCTATCCACTTCATGCTGCAAAAAGGAGATAAATAAATAATTATTTCATATATGTCTAAGTCAAGGATTTCATGTTTCATATTGCAAAAAAAAAAAAAAAAATGTTATAATATATTTTGAGGTAAACAAGACACTTTATAAAATGAAAATGTGAAACAAAAATTGGGAAAAATTATAGTTGAAAACTGGTTTCTTTAGGCTCATTCATATTTCTGTGTTTAATTCTCAAAGGGATTCACATTGAGTCCTATTCAATTTGCAGAAAATAAAGTTGGCTTCGGAGAATATTTTTGTGAGAATTTGCTTGTATGAATAAAAATCAAGTATAATTATTTTATAACATTTGGTAAAAATTATAGTTGAAACTGGGTTTCTTTAGGCTCATTCAATATTTCTTGTGTTAATTCTCAAAGGATTCACATGAGTCCTATTCAATTTGCCAGAAAATAAGTTGACTCTCGGAGAATATTTTTGGGAGAAGTTTGCTGTATGATAAAAAATCCAAAGTAAATTATTTTTATAAACATTTGGGGGGGGGGGGGGCATAACAGCAGCAATAATAACCAATAAATCATCTTCTATCAATGAAGGCCGGGGCATAACAGCAGCAATAATAACAATAATCATCTTCTATCAATGAAGGCCATAAGAATGTCTCGACATAAGAACTTTTCTCTTCAGGCTAAAAGAATAAAATGCATATTTTTCATGAGATGACAAAAGGTTGAGTGCTGGACAAAGATTCCAAATTTCTTTTTGGGTTGGGTTGGGTTGGGCATGCATGCATGTGTATGCAGGGGTGGTGTGGGAAGGCATCCTAACCTGGTTGCAGACCATATCATAATATCATATTCTGCATAAACAGCTGTAAGAAACTCATGAAGGTCTGCACAAGAAGATAATGCAATTAGAAACAAATTGTTACAAAGAGCAAAACATTTAAACAATAAGTTGTCATAACCGAACAACTTACAAGGTCGCATAAGTTCAAGCGGATTCTCTGCTGTGGACCGGTGATCAAACAGGGTATAATCAATATCTAGAACAAGCAGTTTTTTCCCTTCACGACATGGACTCCGAAGTTCAATCTATAATCCAACTCATAAAGAAAAAGGAACATCAAAAAGTTAGTTGTGTCTAAGGGAAGCATCACATCATGATCACATCATGCATGTAAATCCATGCCAATAAAAAATTCAAGCCATATTTAGCTAAAAGCTCTTATGGTACATACCTAGGCATATAATATACATAATAGCTTCCCATCAGGGGTCCAGCATTCTATAACTATAAGCCATTTAAAACCAACGAAATACAAGCTGACCTTATATTGATCAATACGTCTCCTCAGTTTTTGTTTATTAACTTCCTTATCTTTAATATCAACAGCTTCATCTTGCCCAAGTTCAAAATCATCAACAATCTCCGGAGAGTCCAGTTGATCCACAATTATCTCATCTTCAACAGTCCTGAAAGTTCAGTTAAATTTAATAGAAATTTCAACTACATTTAAAATGCAAAAGATTTGTGTCCATGTAATCATGTTGCAAAAAGTCACTTCTTTAAAAATAAAAACTAGTCCTCAAACTCAAAATGTCTTTGACTTCATTGGGCGTAACTTACGTTACACATTCTGCTTCAACAAATTTTTTTGCAAAAAAAAAAAAAAATGAATGAGGATCTAATTGCTGAAGCTGAGGTAATGAGCAAATGGAAATTCTATGCATCCTTTACAACTTGCAAAAACTTATCAGCAAACATTGTACATTTCTACAACCCACATTGCAAGAGATCACCACCTCCTTATCAGCACTTTCAATGTAAAAGTTTTAATTTTTGAGTAAAAGTTACTGTCATACAAGCAAGAGTAAGGGGAAATAAATTCCAATTTCTAGCAAGATCACGGGTGCAATATGGAAGCTATATGAAGTACCAAACAATGAAAGATAGGCGTTTTGTGATTTTTCTTTTTCCTTTTTCCTTTTTGTTTGTAACAAATTTGATTTATATAATAATATGAAAGCCAATCATCTCAAAGATGCAGTAAGAATTATACCAAACTCAAACCTTCAATCATCAACTACAGAAGATTGACTAAATGACAGGAACATTTCACTATCTTTCAATCTATTTCTATTATGTTCTACTCTTTCTTCACCAGCTCGATTATGCCCCATTTTTCAATTACAAGTTTAACTTTAATTAAAATCCTTAATACTCAAGCCTCCATTAAACATAGAAAATGAAAAATCTAACATTCAGTCTACCAATTTGTTGTGATCACAAGACTCCTATCAGTATCCGAGGTTGCAGGGTTAAGGGTCATGTGTTGTCCTCAACAAACATGGAGCTTTCCTTAGAAGAGGCTTTCTCAAAATTCAAAATAACCCATCATAAAGGAAAATGAAAATGACAATAAGAGAGAAAATTTATCAAAAATAAGAAGCAATCAATAAAAAGAAAACCCAGTTAAAAAAAATAATACAAAAGGGAGAGAGAAATCTAACCCAATCATGGTCATTTTGAGCGAGGATTTAAGCGGAAGTTGGGAGAGCAAAACAGTGTCATCGGCCAGCTTATTACCGATTTTAGGATACAGAAGCTTTTGTCGCTTAGGCAAAACATTGGTGAGTTCGCATATGCGGCGCTTCAATTCCCCTACAGAATCGTCGCCGCAGACCCGTACAGTATACTCCTTGCCGCTCCACTTTACTCTCAGTGCCAGCTCCTCCTCCGTCGCCGATGAGACTGCTATCGAAGAAGAAGCAGCTGCCATTGTTAGCTTAATGAGTGCGCTTTCTCTCCGAGAAATAAAAATCGTTCCCTTTGCTTTCGCTTTTGTTTTCTTCCCCCTTGCTTTGTGTGTAAGCAGGGATGGAACTTTCAAAATTTAACTTTTTTTCCCCACAATTTTTTATAACTTTTCTTAAATATCCTGTTTGACCTCCCAAAATATTTCAAAATTTATTTATTTTTCCTAATTTTATATATATATACAAAAATATTCTTATAGGTTCTAATTTTTAAATTTTTTTTTTCTTTTTTATTTTTAGCCTCTCCCTACTTAAATTCGTGTTCCGTCCCAAGCCTCATTCACGTTGTTTTAGGTGATTTGATCCAAAAAAATTATGAAATGAGATCCTGAATTTCATTTTTCACCTCCACATATTAATTACAATAATTTTTATATTTTTAATTTTTATATATAAAAAATTAATTTGATATTTGATTAGTATAACTTTTATAATAATAATTTTCATATTTTTTAATTATTTAATCAATGTTGAATTGATTCTCCCTCGTCCGATACATTCTACTATTTTGAAAATGAATAGAACATTATCATTTAAAAAAAGACTAATTAAATAAAAAATTTCACTAAATAGGTAAGCATTGAAAAAAAAAAAGTATGTATTTTGAAACTCTTATAACCACGAGACCTTCAACTTAGCCATTAGTATAAGGCTTGACTGATATCTCTCTCTCATCTTATACAACCTACTGTTTTGAAAATGAAAGCAACATTTTGTTTAATGAAAAACAAATGGGCTTCAAGATTATAAGCCCATTCATAATTTCATTATTTTCTAATAAAATAATTTAATTAGCACATAAATATTTTTATATTTTGTATGATTTAAACATTATTGTAACATTTAAATTACTAAGTGTAACTTATATTTTAATATGTTTATTATTCAGTTGAATATATAATAATTGGTTTGTACAATGAATTACATAAAACAGTAGTTTTAAAAATTCATACATTATAACTCATAATTGTTTATTTATTCATTTAATAAAATAATAAAAATATAATTTATTTAAAATTCATCACCATTAAAATCATAATTTGTTTATTTATTCATTTAATAAAATACATAAAAAATATAATTTAATAATATACAAATATTTATATACAAATATTTTTATATTTTGTGTGATTTATTAATGATTTAAATATTATTATAATATTTAAATTACTATAACTTATATTTTGATATATCTTTTATTATGTTGAATATAAAATATCTAGTTTGGATAATGAAAGTTTGATTAATATTAGATAACAAATGGTTGAAAAATAATTTTACATTTATAATTATATTATTATTTTTCATTATAAAATTATTTATGAATATATTTTGTTAACTTTTTACAAATAATTATAAAAATTTAAAAAGTAAAAAATCTAATTAAACCGAGATGACTTGATTCCACCGCAACCCATTCCCATTCATGAAGTCGATTTTATGTCCGGTCTGCTCTAAATAATCTCACAGATTACCCAAAATATCCATACCAAACAATCTAATCTTTCTTTGAACTTGAATTCTATTCCAACTGCCTGTGTCAACTTGATATCTGTTATTATTCATAATTTCCATAATAACCTTATCACCAACTCGCAAATTCTTTCTACTAGCAAACTCAAGCCAGCGGACTGAAAGAAAACGTCCAGCATCTTCATCTTCTTGAACAGAGTAGGGAAATATCTATCCACAGTCCAGCATCTTCATCTTCTTGAACAGAGTAGGGAAATATCAGTCCAGCATCTTCATCTTCTTGAACAGAGTAGGGAAATATCTATCCACAGCCACTGTCATCGTAGACATGCATGATCATTGTCTGCCCTCGTCGAAAGGCAGCTGTCCTATAGAATTAATAGAGACATATAAAGGACTTTCAATATCAGTTTTGGTTAATGTTTTTGAGAAGAGTCACTGCAACATATTGCATCTATAACTACAATTCATAACGTTTACAAGTTAACTAGATCTACGTGGGGATGAGAATATGAAGATTAATTCTTGAGGTAGAGGACATCAACCTAATTTTACATTTAAAGCTACTTAGATAGGCTTTTGAAGGCACTGAAGAGTGGTTGTGCTGGATATAAACAGAAAAAGGAGTCCTTACATTTAAAGTCCTGATTGCTCAAAGACAAGCTGGCCTTGATGTTATGGGCCAGCCAGTATCAGAATCGAAGAAGATGAGTCCGCTCCATAATTTCCACAAGCACAAATTTCATTTTTATAGGCATATATATATATATATATATATATAATATATATATAGTATATATATATATATATATATATAGCAGACATATTTTCTTTTGGTGCTGCTAGAATACTAAAGAAGTGATACGGATAATATTTATAATTATTTGAATTTATATTTATCTTTTGAACTAAATTGTATTAAATGTGTTGGAGTTTCTCATATTTAAAATGAATTACTTAATTTATAGATTTAATGATTTATGAAATTATTTTTTTATTAAGTATAAAATAAAGCAAACTAACTAATTCTCCTTTTACTTCATTTTTTTATTTATCTCTATAAATTCGACCATTTTCAATCCGTACTTTTCTATACATGTTTATTTATTAATTCTCATTCTCATGATAAAAAAATTATGACTGCATTTTTATTATTTATAATATAAAAAAATTTTACTCAAGAATTTATTAAAAAGCTATATACATTATATTATTTTCTTTCAACTTTTTTCTTTTTTTTAATTTTCTTTAACCTTGGCGGATATATATATACAGTTAGATACGTGTTTTAATTTTAACATAATAAATTTTCTTTTTTCTTTTTTCTTTTTTTTCATCCACCCATTTGCAAATTTTTCATGTTGATGTTAAGAAATGTGTTGAAAAATAAAAATGTTTTTTTATGGATTATTCTGTGTGTGCATATATACAATATGCTAAATGAGATAATTCTCTGGCTATAATAATATTAATATAATATATATTTTGCTAATGAATTAAGTTTGGTGGAAGAAGTTGTAAAGTGAATCTGATATATCATAGATGGTGCTTTGCAAGATATATATTTTTGATTGAGAAAAAATAAATAAATAAAAAGATTTGTGAACTTGGTGACGTAATTGTAAAATTTCTATAGAATTTTAGAATGCCCGCCGTCCTCCAGAAAGAGTGACACAAGAAACATTCTTTTACTCTTTACTGAACTGGACACCTTTCTGAGATCAAGGAAACTCTAACTACCAGAAACGTTAGCGGTTTGAAAAATTAAAAAACCAATCAATCATTAGCACTTCTATGTCTAAAAATATAAAAATATAACTGCAAAACACATTAATTGAAATAACACTACGGACTATACAACAGGGGTAGCTCTCCCTTGACTCACCAAACCGGTGAAAACAACTGTAGTCGAGATGACTCAAACTCGAGACCTCTCACTCCTCACACAAGTGAGACGCTTACTAACATTTTTTTTTTATTATTCTCTTTGTTTATCCCAACTTTGTTTATCCAATTGTGATGGCGCTTTTTAAGCTTAATTCTGAGCTTAAAAAGCTTAATTTTCTTTTTCTAAGCTTAATTCTGTTGACACCACATTCTTTTTCTCTATTAAAATCAAAATAAAATATGTTAAACAGATAAATGCCTAGTTGTCTAAAATGGAACAGTTGCATCCGATGCTTGGTTTGATAGGTCAAGACTTAGATTCATAATCGAGTATTTCTATAATATCTTATTTTATTTTATTTTATATGTATATATACATATGGGCCCCAACCTTAGTTATTAATCATATGTATCGCTTATCGGGATAATTAGAGACAAGACAAATAAATAGGGAAAAAACCTCGGTCATTTCAATAGGGACAAAACCTTAGAGGGATAAAGCCGTGTTATTAATGGAATTCCTTGTCGGCTCTCTGTAAAATATTCATTTGAAAAGGAGGCCTTCCAAATAAAACGTAAGCTAAACCCATGCTGACCAAAAAAGTTGTCTAACTTCGTCCCAAATTTGCTCAATTTTTCTAGCTATATATAGAAGCACCAACTTTCACTAATTTCATGAAGAAGATGGCTAATACTAAACTCCTTCCCGAGATAAAGTCTGATTCAATCTACAAGCTTTGTGAAAAGCCGTTGAGAAAAACTGATTTGGAGCACCAATTCATCGCTCCAAGTGATTTCCTGAAGAAACTTGCTGATTTGGATGAAAATGGAGAGTCGAAAGAAAAAATCACTTCATTTGATCGAGATGGCAAGGAATGGACATTTCGATTATCCATACGCAAGACTGAGAAATATTCTAAACCAACTCTCACTCCAGCTTCTTGGCGTCCATTTGTGAAACATTTCGGTCTTCGAGATGGTGATGCTGTGATATTCTATATAATAAGACATGATGGCGCTCGTAAGATACAGATTAGAGGGCTGAGAAAAATTATCTTTCTTGGTAAACCGACTTGGAAGGAGGTGAAGAAAGTAGAAAATCAGGCATTAACTTCCCATTCCAGGGTATGAGGGCCTTAACGTCTGTGTTTGTTTGTTTGTTTATTTTTATTTTTATGTTTTTAAATATAATATTTACTACCAATGTTGATAAGGAATAAGTAGTTGAGACTTTTTTTACTTAATTTAAGATCCTCGGTATGAAAATTAACACGCTTGAAGAATCGCTCCTATATGAGCTTTGTCGAGTATAATATTTTTATATAAGGACAATAAATATAAGTTTGTATTAAATTTTTTTTTTTTTAGTTTGAAGAACCTGAATTTGATTCCAGATTATATATATAACTACTGTTATACTGTTATTCTATGTGTAAGTCTATATTAAAGTTTCAAATTCATTGAATCACATAATAATATAAAGTAATATCTTTATATACGTATGCCAAAAGTTATATTGTTTTTTTTTAACCCTTAATGCCAAATACTAACTTATTTTATTTGCTATACGTTGACTATCAAATTTCTAGCTTGCTTTTTAATTTTCTTTTATATATATATATATATATATATATATAAAGGCTCAAATTTCTAGGGCTTGCTTTTTAATTTCTTTTATATTATATTATTATATATATATATTATAAAGGCCGGATGAGAATGATTTT